TTTCTATATATTTGGCGGGGAAAACTACAAGTGGCTATCGTTAGAGCACTCCAGCATTTAAATGTGAATAAATCTTTTGTGTCTCGTACCATCACTTGTTACCGTGATACTGGTAGCGTAGCCCGACGTGAAGGAAGTGGACGGAAGAAAACAGCAACATAAGCAGAATTGGTTCGAAAAGTTAAGAAGCGACTTGATCGAAACCCGCGTCGCAGTGGCCGAAAAATGACTCGTGAGCTGAACATATCGCAATATTCCATTCGAGCTCGGGGTAAAGCCATTGAAATTCCAAAAAGTGCAAGAACTTACACCGCAGCGGAAAGAAAATAGACTCAAAAGAGCTAAAGAGTTGCTTCGCTTGGCCGAAAGTGGTGAACTGCCGAATTTGGTTTTCTCCGATGAGAAACATTCGTTGTCCAGCAGTTTTGTAAACAAACAAAATGATCGTGTTTACTCGCCAAAGAGGTCAGCTTAAAGTGTGCACCTTCGGTTGGCCACCAGAACTCAAGCGCCGGCCATGGTGATGGTGTGGGCCGCCATAACAGCCGATGGTCGCTCTCTGCTCTTATTAATCGACCGTGACATCAGAATAAATGCCGAATATTATTGCGAAAATATTCTGGAGGGTGTATTAAAGCCTTGGGCATGCAAACATTTTGGCCGCAGACCTTGGACATTCCAACAGGACTCAGCACCATCACACTCAGCACGCGCCACCCAAGAATGGTTACATAATGAGGTTCCTCGCTTCATTTCCAGAACACAACGGCCACCAAAATCTCCGGATACCAATCTCTTGATACTATTGTGTCTGGAGTATTTTGGAAAGCAAGGTTGGCACTAAAAAATACCAAAGAGCCGATCACCTCAAGCAAGCGCTTCGCCAAGAATAGGCCAAAATACCGCAGAGCAACATTCGTGAGGGTTAATTTGCCGTTTGAAGGCCATAATTCGTGCCAAAGGTGACCAATTCGAACAAATCAAATTTTATTCTAAAATTTGATGCTATTTCCGACATTTTTTGCTTTCATTCAATAAAATTTAAAAAAAAAATGCAAAAATTATGGCTTTTAAGTTTATTGCTGTTTTTTATCTCACCCTGAAAATGTAAGTTATTTTGCTTCGTAAATTTAATAGAAATAATTCTTTATTTATTAGCTAACTGGTAGTGCATAGGATATGGGGTTGTCATTATTTTTTGGATCCTGGTAATTCTCAGAATATGTGTATGTCATTATTGGCAACTAAAAGTGGCACATATGGCTACAAAATGTTTGCTGGGATAGCCAAAACGTTGTATGGGGGCTATATGAAAACGTAGATCTATGTAAAACATATGTTTGTGATGAGTTAAGGCACTCAATTAAAACCCCTAATGCCAATTTATAGCTTATTGGACCGATTTTGCAAAATTCTGCATAGAGTTGGTAAACATCGAGTCCTGCTAGGCCTATTTTTTTATATAGCGTCTACCAAGGAAAAATATAAATATAAAAATATAAAATATGAATATATACCAAGTCGGTTGGCGTCAAAGCAGGCTGGGCCGAAATCTGGCATAAAAATCACTACATTTTTTTCTTATCCTTATATGATACAGGTCCCGATTTACTTTAAAAATGTCTGAATAGTAAATTGAGTTCAGCTGCAAAATGTGGCTGAGGTCTGCAAAATATCAATAACTGTGGGCTAACGTTATGTAGAGGCTATTTCTCCAGCTGGAGCACCAATGAACATTTTATTCATAACTTATATTTATAAGGCTCCTAAAATCTTAAAAGGCTTATGTGGAGTGGAGTGATATTAAACATATTTATTATGGCGAACTTTGATTCAAATATGATATACAGTTGTTGAAAATTTTTGGGTTTATACCACATAGGGGACCTATATTGGAGATTTTCTTCAGGGAGGGTTTTTATGCTCTGAGATGTAATTTGAAGACCTATTTTGCAAATTCCAATTAAAAAGTACAAATATCATAGATCTTCATAAAATATTATGGTAAGATTTTCAAGTTGATCGAGACAAAATGCATTCTTTCCCATCTCTGAGGTATACAAATGCTATAAAAGAAATAACAAAACTCATAGACCCGCATCACATGGTGGAGAGAACAAAAACGTCATCTTACTTAGCGATGTGTCATCGTGTGGTCGTTAATAACGGCTGAGTATAACAAACAGCAAAAAAATCGGCACACTTTCATTTGTTTTTTTTTTTTTTTTTTTTGCACAACCGAACTTATATAAAATAGAAAATTTTGTTTTTTTTTTTATTTAAATATGTTTCATTTCGAAATGTTTTCCACTTTTTCTAGGTGATCTTGTTTTTCATTAATTATTATTATTATCATTATGTGTGTGTTCGCACATTCGCACATGAATTAATGAAAATAATTTTCCACTAGCGGAGAACAAAATAGAGGCTATAACATTTTTTTGTATTTTTGTTTTTTTTTTTTAGGATTCTAATTGCGGGGATTCGAACACACAATTTCCTGAAAATTTTACAGTTTTCGTTCCCGGTATGTAGGAAACGTCCTAGCATAGAACTGTCAAGGATTTCGTATGGAGTACCTATAGTTATATGGGAAAGATACAAGACGAGGACCAATTTAAGCAATTTTTTGTCATTGCAAATAGTACCCAAGCATACAGGGTGTGATAAAAAGAAACTTCAACAAAGTCAAAGGTCATAATTTTTACATTTTTTTTTTTTTTTTAATTTTATTAAATGAAGGCAAAAAATTTCGGAAATAGCATCAAATTTTAGAATAAGTTTAGATTTATTCGAATTGGTCACCTTTGGCAAGAATTATGGCCTTCAAATGGCCAATGAAACTGTCACACGCTGCCCGAATGTTGCTCTGCGGTATTTTGGCCCATTCCCGGCGATGCGCTTGCTTGAGATGATCGACACTTTGGTATGTTTTAGTGCCACCTTGCTTTCCAAAATACTCCAGACACAATAGTCCAAAGGATTGGTATCCGGAGATTTTGGTGGCCATTGAGCGCTGGAAATGAAGTGAGGAACCTAATTTTGTAACCATTCTTGGGTGGGTGGCGTGTTGAGTGCGATGGTGCTGAGTCCTGTTGGAATGTCCAAGGTCTCGCCCAAAATGTTCGCGTGTCCAAGGCGTTAATACACCCTCCAGAATATTTTCGCGATAATAATCGGCATTTATTCTGACAGTCGATTAATACGAGCGGAGAGCGACCATCGGCTGCTATGGCGGCCCACACCATCACCATGGCCGGCGCTTGAGTTCTGGTGGCCAACCGAAGGTGCAAATTTTCAGCTGACCTCTTTGTTTGTTGGACAACGAATGTTTTCTCATCGGAGAAAACCAAATTCGGCAGTTCAACACTTTCGGCCAAGTGAAGCAACCCTTTAGCTCTTTTGTGTCTATTTTCTTTCTGTTGGGGTATAAGTTCTTGAATTTTTTGGATTTTCAATGGATTTACCCCGAGCTCATATTTCAATATTTGCAAATGAAATATTGCTATATGTTCAGCTCACGATCCATTTTTCGGCCACTGCGACGCGGGTTTCGATCATGTCGCAAGTAACGGCGGCACAGAGCGAGCACGTCCGATTAGAAACCCTAAGGTCGCTGGTCTGATCTTCGGGCCGGCAAGTAAACAGAAAAAAAAAAAATAATAAGAGTTTGCCGACGCAAAAACAAATCGGTAAACAACATATAATGTTGTTAGGTGAGGCTGAATGGATGATCTGTCCGACTACCATTGCGAAGGTCGCAAGTTCAATCCAACCATTAGGAAAAAAAACTAACAAGCCAAAAAATGAAGTGTGGTGGAGGGTAACATACATTCAACGCTAGTGATCTAGAAATAAAACTATTGCTTAATTATTGGCTTTAGTATATCTTCATGTTAAAATAAGGCGTTATGATGCTGTTGTGTAAGTAGTTACTGGTGCCAAAATGTCCTTAATAAATGCAGTGGTTTATGTGTATTTTTGCTGTTCCCGGCGTAATTTATACCCTAATAAGAGGCATATGGCTAGAGAGGGTATATATCATTTGACGATTATAGTTCCTATGTTAGAGATCAGACCACTTCTTCTGGTACCTCCCCCACATAGGGTTCAAGATTTTGAAAAACAAACTGCTCCAGGAAAGCGAAGTAAGCATCCAACTCTCTTCAAATTGCACACATAGAAACATTTTTACTAACACAAGATCTCTTGTAAAGATGATATATATCTGCGAATCCCTTCTGGTACCTCACCCACAAAGGGTCACAATTTTTAATGCTTTTATGTGTCATAATTTTGCGAAACCAGTTAGGGATTTTTTTCAATTTGCTATATCTAAATATTTCTCTCAACTAGAAACCTGAGATGGATATGAAATATGAACATGGACCTGCATAGGTAACTTTTGTCATAATCCATTACAATATTTAAATGCGAAACTTAAAAAAATAGGTGAATAATGTAGCTAAACTCATCAAAATACCGAATATCGGGAGGTACCGTTAGAATATCGGGCTATACGAAGACGTGGACCTGTACAGACAATTTTCAGTCTCAGGCTGTAGTATCCATTTCGAACTTCAAATACCAAATTTAAAGCAATTCCGTTATATAGTCGCTCAAATCATCAAAATAACGAATATAGGGAGGTACCGTTATATGGGGGCTATACCAAAACGTGGACCTACATTTTCAATACTGAAAGTCCTGCAGACATAATATACATTTAAGTAAAATTGTATCAGTCTGTTTCAATTCGTTCGGAAGCTAGAGTGATTTCCACAGGCGGACAGACGGGCGGAAATTGCTAAATCGTCATAGAATTTTATGCTGATCAAGAATATATATACTTTGTGGGATCTAAAATTTATATTTCGAGGTGTTACAAACGGAATGGCAAACTTAAAATACCCTCCATGCTATGATGGAGGATATAAAAATAAATCACTTTGTATTTTTTCTATTTGAAATTTCATAAGAACCATAGCAATTTCACTCACCTTTAAATAAAAACGATTATGGTGTTCTGCTAATTTGAAATGCCTAAACGTTTAGTTCACGATTCGGCCAAATAAGAATTCCATAGCACTAACATTCCGAAAACGATTATGAAACACAAAATGCTGTTGGGCTTGTTTCTTTTAAATGGTAATTATTATTGTTTTGTATTGTTGTCGATAGTGTTGTTGTTGTTGTTATGGCAATATAAACATTAGTTTGATGTATGATGAGAAGCTTCAGAAAACCCCAACCAGATAATCGCGCCCGTGTTTTGCGTTTTTATTTCACAAAGAAGCAACAGAAAACCAACTAAAAACAACTTGTTGCCAGCCAGCCGGTCATGAAATGCATTTTTTTTTTTTTTTTTTTTGTTTTGACGTTTTATTTTTGTTGTTGTTTATTTTGATTTTTTTCGAACGTTATTGGCTTTGTTGGGTATTGAAACTTTAGCGGGCAAAGATTCTAAGAAATGAACATGAGTCGTATGTCATTTGAAGCGCCATCGAACAACAAACACGCACCCACTTGGGGAGAGAGAGAACAAAGAATTCCGGTTTAAAGGAGTGACGCCACCACCTTAACAAAGGATGAGCACAACAAACAGGAACTGTATGACTTATGTTATGAAATTGAGTGGCAATTGTTGTCGTAAAATAATTATTTTTCTTATAAGATTTTTTGTTTTGAAATATTTTTTCAATAGTTTCTCTTTTCTTCTTGTAGCATTACAACTGGACGATTTAATCGCAAATTCATTTAACACCAATTAACCAAGAATAGTGGCTAAGAATGGCCAAGGAAAATTCTAAACAGAAAAACCGCTCAACTTGACTTAGTTGGTTGTATGATTGGCCATCGTCTTTTCACGTTATTCTTGTGGTTAAACACAACACGTAGAGATCATTTACTCACACACTGTACAAAGCGCGCTCTCTCGCTCTCACTCTCTGCTCAATGGATTTATCACTAGACTGCTGGCAAAAGAGAAGACACAAATGCCGCCAACACTGCCGCCTCACACAAAGATCCCAAATATTTGTTTGTATCTTTCGCGGCCTTTCTTCTTCTCGGATATATTCACAAACAGCACACACACACACACACACGCACAATATAATACTCAACGCTTTGAATAATTCTCTTTGATTCTTTCTTTTCTTTTTGTTGTTATTTATTCATACTTTTTCTCGGATATAGCTATTCACATAAGAACATGGGAGGTGATGATATGTGATTGTATGCGTGCGTATACTTTGTTGAATGCATGCATATGTATAATCTACTATTTTAATTCGGAAGATATGTATTTTTGTTGTTGTTGTTATATATTATATTTAATTTAATTTTTTTGTGTTATATGTTATGTTGCACTCACGACACCTATGTTATTAACAACAATAATAATAACCGGCAGCGACAAGAAACTTCTTTTTTTCGTTAATGACTTTGTACCACCAATAAAAACAAGAAATAACGAACGTTAAGTTTTGAAACGGACGGAAGCACTAAGTGAAAGTTCGACATGCGCTCGTTCGTTCTTTCGATGTCCGACAAACCGACGTAGACGAATACAACTGTTCGTTGGATACACTACAAACTGGCTAACAACCCAAACAATGCTAGAGACGTCGACGACGACGACGCAACCACAACAAACAGACACACACGCAACCGAACTCTCAACTAACTTTGTTGTCATGAGAAGAGGGCCAAGCAAGCAGGAAAAGGAGAATGGTAAGGGTTGCCAATGCCCGTCTAAATGTGTTTGGGACATTTAAGGTAACTTTAACTTCATAAACGGGTGTAAAGTTTATGTAGCAGATTTTGCCTATTGGGAACTTCGTAAAATATAGTGGATTTTAGAGGGGTTTCTTCATCAGGATCAGCGCTGCTCAAGAAAAAATATCTCTTTCCAGTCAAATTTCTCTTCACTTATTTAAATCAAGAACAAATCGTAAAACATAAAGAAAAACTGAATTTTAATTTTCTCTTATATTATCTGTTTTTTTTTTTTTTCGGCTCATGTTCTAGAACACGGATTTGAGCAGAGCTGATCAGGATCTATCAAAGCATATAAATGGTAAAAACACAAACATATGCTTAGTTAGGTCTACTTTAACTCTAACAAGAAAAAAGGCAGCTACGTTCAGCCGGGCCGTGCTTTTAATTCCCTCCACCATTTGGAAGGAAATTGAAACATTTAAAAAAAAAACTTCCGGAAACTACCATTTAAATGAAAACTTTTATATGGATACTATACGAAGACGTGAGCCTGCTTATGAAATTTTTCGTCATAGGCTGTAGTACCCATTACGAACTTACGAACAAATACCAAATTTGAAACAATTCCGATAAATAGTGTTCCTAAAATCATGAAAATACCGAATATCGGGATGTACCGTTATATGGGGGATATACGTAAACCTAAACCTACATACGTAGGCTGTAGTATCCATTAAGAACTTTAAATACGAAATTTGTTACAGTTCCGGTGTCGCACAAATTATAAAAATACCGAGTATTGGAAGGTACTGTCATATGGGGGCTATACGAAGGCGTGGACCTGCACACAAAAATTTTTGTCATAGGCTGTAGCACCCATTACGAACTTCAAATACCAAATTTCTAATAATTCCAATAAATAATGTGGCCAAAATCATGAAAATACCGAATATAGGGAGGTACCGTTATATAGGGGCTGTACGAAGACGTGGACAAGCATACGAAATTTTTTCCATAGGTTGTAGTAACCATTAAGATCTCCCAATATGAAATTTCAAACAATTCCGGTGAATAATATCGCTAAAATCATCAAAATACCAAATTGACGTTGACCTGCAAAGACAATTTTTTAATTTCAAATATCAAATTTGAATTTAAATAATTCCGGTAAATACTGTCGCAAAAATCATGAAAATACCGAATATCGGGAGGTACCGTCATATGGGGGCTATACGAAAACGTCGACTGAAGTGGCCCTGCCTACTGGTAAACTATGCATGTATGAAAAATTGTAGCCTTCTATCTCAATTCGTTCGAAAGAAATTCGTTCGTGATTACAACAGACAGATGGACAGACAGTCAAAGAAGCAACTTGATCGAAACCCGCGTCGCAGTGGCCGAAAAATAACTCGTGAGCTGAACATATCGCAATACTCCATTCGGCAAATATTGAAAAATGAAATTCTAAAAAGTGCAAGAACTTAGACCACAACAGAAGAAAATAGACTTAAAAGAGCTAAAGAGTTGCTTCGCTTGGCCGAAAGTGGTGAACTGCCGAATTTGGTTTTCTTCGATGAGAAAACATTCGTTGTCCAGCAGTTTGACAAACAAAATAATCGTGTTTACTTGCCAAAGAGGTCAGCTGTGAATGTTTACCGAGCTTCGGTTGGCCACCAGAACTCAAATGCCGGCCATGGTGATGGTGTGGGCCGCCATAACAACCAATGGTCGCTCTCCACTCGTATTAATCGACCGTGGCGTCAGAATAAATGCCGAATATTATCGTGAAAATATTCTGGAGGGTGTATTAAAGCCTTGGGCACGCCAACATTTTGGCCGCAGATCTTGGACATTCCAACAGGACTCAGCACCATCGCACTCAGCACGCGCCATCCAAGAATGGTTACAAAATTAGGTTTCTCTCATTTCTAGCGCACAATGGCAACCAAGATCTCCGGAAACCAATCCGTTGGACTATTGTGTCTGGAGTATTTTGGAAAGCATGGTTAACACTAAAAAATACCAAAGTGTCGATCACCTCAAGCAAGCGCTTCGCCGGGAATGGGCTAAAATACCGCAGGGCGAAATTTGCACCGCGTGTGACGGTTTCATTGGCCGTTTGAAGCCCATAATTCGTGCTAAGGGTGACCAATACGAACAAATCTAAACTTATTCTAAAATTTGATGCAATTTTCGAAATTTTTTGTTTTCATTCAATAAAATTAAAAAAAAAAATAAAAATTATGTCGTTTGACTTTGTTGCAGTTTTTTTTATCTCACCCTGTATATATTTAAAGAAATAGGTGTGGCTAGTTTCTCTGATCTCAACTAGATACTTGTGGTTGATGGGAGAGTCAACGGTACCTCGTACACTGACTTTCAAACATATATCTTCATTATTTTGGCAAATATAAGGATTTTAAGTAAATCGAAAAAAATGTACGTAAAAGTGGGCGTGTTCAATTTTTCTTCACATAAATACTTAACTTGGGGTAGGACGAAAATTTGTAAAAAAAAATGTCAAAATATGTCCAGCCGATTTCAACTGACTCACTTGCAAACGATCGTCTTTTGATTTTTTAGTTATATATATTAAGGAGTAGGCGTGGCCAGTTCCTCAGCACCAAAATAAATATTTAAGGTTGGAGGGAAAGGAACTCGTGTAATAATTTTCGAACCGATGTCTGCATTATTTTGGCAAATATAAGAAATTGAGATAAATGTTTGTCAAAAAATTATCCAAATCCGTTCAGATTTTCATATAGCCTTATATATATCTTTATACTTTTTAACATTTATGTGCATAAAATTTTTAATATTGGCCCAAATTGGATGGATTTTTGCGTATTCAAGCGAATTTTTCCTTTTGGTAAAACTTGTTCCCATACATCTATTGCTCCTATAAACTTTTTAATACCCTCCACCTTGGAAAGGAGGGTATATTAACTTTGTCATTCCGTTTGTAGCATCCTTAAATATTCGTCTTAGACCCCATAAAGTATACATATTCATAATCAGCATAAAATTCTAAGCCGATTTAACTATGTCCGTCTGTTGAAATCACGATACAGCCCACGTTATTTGACGTAGGGCGCCAAAATTTAGCAGAGCTATTTGCATTGTGTCTATGATGGTTGGTATTGAAAATGAGATATATCGGTCCACGTTCCGGTATAGTCCCCATATAACGGTACCTCCCGATATTCGGTATTTTGATGATTTATGCCACATTTTTTCACGGATTTGTCTGGAAATTGGTATTTGTAGGTCATAACGGGTCCCTGAGCTTGTGGCAAAACATTACATGTATAGGTCCACGTTGTGGTATAGCCCCCATATAAAGGTACATCCCAATATTCGGTATTTTAGTTTTTTTTTGCCACATTTTTCCACGGATTTGTCTAAAAATTGGTACTTGTGGGTCATAATGGTTTCCAGCTCCGGTGGCGAAACATTGCATGTATGGGTCAAGGATTTGGTATAGCCCCCATAGAACAGTACCTGCCGATATTCGGTATTTTCATGGTTTTTGCCACATTTTTTTCACTGATTTGTCTAAAAATTGGTATTTGTGGGTCATAATGGGTCCTAGTTCGTGTGGCGAAACATTGTAATTATAGGTCCACGTTTTGGTGTAGCCCCCATATAACGGTACCTCCCGAAATTCGGCATTTTAATGGTTTTTGCCAAATATCTTCTAATGTTTCTTTTACCCTAAGGTGGAGGGTATTAAAAGTTTGGCCCGGCCGAACTTAATGTTTTTTTACTTGTTTAATATAATCCTTCCCGGAGTTATATAATGCACTTTATAGAAATATATTTTCACTATTACAAATTAAGCACCTACAATATACCTTGAACAAAACTTTTATATAAATCTCTGAATATTATGAATTGTTCCAAACTTGGCAACTCTATACTTGGCCATAAAAACAAAACAAACTGCATTGGAACATTCCTTCACAAGCCACCGTCAATAGAACATACCTAGATACACACATAGGTATGTGTGTTTGTTTGGCCATACGGATACGTTGTTGGGCTATTGGCAAAGGTTCAAACATGTTCTTCGAAATGGAGAAGTTCTTATAGGAACGTGAGTGCACATTTCGTATAAAAACAACCAAACGCATTGGCTTGGCTGTGTATCCATCGTGTCTTTAAAACCGGTTTCATCTTCATCCACTTTCGTCATCGTTCACACACACGATGCGATTTATTTATGAGAATTTATAAAGTGTTTGAATACACAGAAGATATTTTCCACCCCCTCCCCCCACTCTTCAAACCATGCTATAAGCGAACATAGTCGATTGCCATAAGAACCAAACGCGACGTCAGGTTTTGTTTACATTCTCAGTCCAAACACATCCACCACCGCACGTTAGCGGTAAGTTCGATACTAACGACCAATCAAATTCAATAAAATAACGTGCTGCTGTTTTCGGTTTCGTGTTGTCTGTCGTACCCTTCGGTTTTATTTTTGTTCGAAACGAACAAGTGTAGCTCATTTAGCGTTTTTATTTGTTGAAGGGAAACGTGTTTGTCATTATTTTCGCCGGGGCGAACTAACAAGACGGGATACCAAATTTCAGCCAATTACTTGCCGCAAGTAGACTTGCATAATATAATTTATGGAAATATTTTTAACTGCACTGTGCAACATAAAAACTAATTACAACAAGTAAAAAAAAACGTTTTATGCCCTCCACAGTTCGGAAAGTAACTTTTATAAAAATATGTATGTACAGGGTGAGATAAAAAAACTGCAACAAAGTCAAAAGCCATAATTTTTACATCTTTTTTAAATTTTATGGAATGAAAGCAAAAAATGTAGGAAATGTGGCATGAATTATGGCCTTCAAACGGCCAATGAAGCCGTCACACGCTGCTCGAATGTTGCTCTGCGGTATTTTGGCCCATTCCCGGCGAAGCGCTTCC